TTGGAGACCCTGATATCTGGTTCCAAATCCTAGCTTTGCCACATAAATAACTGTGGGTGGGTGTAGTGGCTCATGCTGGAAGCCAATGTTGTGGTGGGTGCCTGTGGTCCAAGATATTCAGGAGGCTGAGGCAGGAGGATCTCTTTGAGGGTGTAGTGAGGTATGATGAGGCCACTGCATTCTAACCTGGGTTACAGAATGAGACCTTGACGCTGAAAATAAATAAATAAATAAATAAATAACTGTATAACCTGGAGTTAGGTTCTTGATATCTCTGAGTTTGGGGTCCCACCTTTTAAAGTGAAAACATAATGGTTTACTGCTTAGGAATTAGTAACGGTGATTTGCACAACCAGCCTCCACATCAGCCTGAGCCCTGATGGCACCAGGCTTCCTTCAAGTCCTTGCCCACCAAAAGCCTCTAACCCTCGGGTCCTTCACAAATGCTGTCCCCTCTGTCTGGAATGGGCCCCTATGCACCTCTACTCTTCTTCTGCCATTTATTAGGCTGGCTTCTTTTCATGCTTCAAAACCTAGCATCGGGTGGCACCCATAGCTCAGTGGTCATGGGGCCAACCACATACAGAGGCTGACAGGTTTGCACCCAGCCTGGTCCTGCTAAACAATGACAACTGCAACCAAAAAATAGCCAGGTGTTGTGGGCGTCTGTAGTCCCAGCTACCTGGGAGGCTGAGGCAAGAGAATTGCTTTAAGTCCATGAGTTATAGGTTGCTGTGAGCTGTGCCTCCACTGCACTCTACCCAGGGCAACACTGTCTCAAAAACAAATAAACAAACAAAACCTAGCATCAATGTCACATCCTTAAAGAAACCTTCCCTGATCATCTGTTAGTCCCATTCAAAGCACCCCTTTGTTCTCCTCATGCCAATTACTACAATTTGTAATTATACAGTTATAAATTTATTGCCTCGCTCCCCTTCCCTCATACTGTTAACTCCAATAGCACAAGAACCACATTTATTTTGCTCCCCACTGACCACTGAATATCCAATAACTAATACAGCGATCGCACAAAGGGAACCCTCAAAAAGTATGTGCTGGCCTAGTGTAGTGGCTCATGTACAATCTGAGCACTCTGGGATTGCTTGAGTTCAGATCAGCCTGAGAAAGACTGGTCTTCGTCACTAATAAAAATAGCAAAACTAGCCAGGAGTTGTGGTGGGCACTTGTAGTCCCAGCTACTCAGGAGGCTGAGCAAGAGGATTGCTTAGGCCCAGAGAAAGAATAAAGTACTTTCTTTCTTTTTTTTTTTTTTGAGACAGAGCCTAAGCCATCCCCCTGGGTAGAGTGCCGTGGCATCACAGCTCACAGCAACCTCCAACTCCTGGGCTCAAGTGAGTCTCCTGCCTCTGCCTCCCAAGTAGCTGGGACCACAGACGCCCACCACAACGCTCAGCTATTTTTTGGTTACAGCCGTCATTGTTGTTTGGCGGGCCCAGGCTGGATTTGAACCCGCCACCTTAGGTGTATGTGGCTGGCACCTTAGCCACTTGAGCCACAGGTGCTGAGCCAGTACTTTCTACCCCTCATACCTGGTACTTGCTGAGTACTCATCAAAGAATGAGTGAAATGGGGCTATAATTATGAAATGTGGGCTAGCTAGAGGAAATAAATCATAACTTGTGATATTTTATTTATTTATTTGTTTTTTGAGACAGAGTCTCAAGCTGTCACCCTGGGTAGAATGCCGTGGCATCATAGCTCATAGCAACCTCCAACTCTTGGGCTCAAGTGATCCTCTTGCCTCAGTTTTTTCTTTCTTTTTTGAGACAGAGTCTCACTATGTCACCTTCCATAGAGTGCCATGATCACAGCTCACAGCAGCCTCAAAGTCTTAGGCTTCAGCAATTCTCTTGCCTCAGCTTCCCGAGTACCTGGGACTACATGCACCCACCACAATGCCCAGCTGTATTTTTGTTGTTGTTGTCATATTTGTTGTTTAGCTGGCCCAGGCCAGGTTCAAACCCACCAGTCTGGGTGTATGTGGCCGGTGCCCTACCTACTGAGCTAAGGGTGCCGCCAGTTTTTTCTATTTTTAGTAGAGATGGGGTCTTGATTTTTGCTTAACTTATGAGCTCGGGCCTGGCCTCCCAAAGTGCTAGGATTACAGGAGTGAGCCACTGCCCCTGGCCTTATTATTTATCTTTTTTTTGTCGAGACAGAGTTCTATCCTGTGCCCTGAGCAGACTGCGATGGCATTGTCGTAGCTCACTGCAACCTCAGACTCAGGCTGTGGACATCCTGCTGCCTCAGCCTCTGAAGCCACTGGGATTATAGGCACTTGCCAAGGCACTCAGCTGGGTTTTTCTATTTTTTTCATGACTCAGGGCCTCATTCTCATTCAGACAAGCCTCAAATTCCTGAGCTCAAACAACCCTCCTGCCTCAGCCTCCCACAGTGCTGGGATTACAGGCATGATCCTGGCCCTATTTTTATTTATTTATATTTTTGTAGAGACAGAGTCTCACTTTGTCTCCCTCAGTAGAGTGCCATGGTGTCACACAGCTCACAGCAACCTCAAACTCTTGGGCTTAAGCCATTCTCTTGCCTGAGCCTCCCAAGTAGCTGGGACTACAAGCGCCTGCCACAATGCCCAGCCATTTTTTGGTTGAAGTTGTCATTGTTGTTTAGCAGGCCCAGGCAAGGTTCAAACCCAACAGCCCTGGTTTATGTAACCACTGAGCTATGGGAGCTGAGCCACTTGACCATTTTCTACTGCCCTTCTCCGCGAATCTCATTCTCCTGCCTCTTCCTTATGTAATGGATGCTCTGTTCACAGAATATCTCAGCCATACTGAGACAGGAATTCCATCTGTAAGCATTGTTAGGATCCACCTGTAGGGTTGCAAAACATCTGAATAGTTGCCATGTCCAGACTGTTGCCCATAGGCCAACAATTCTCAACCTGTGGGTCATGACCCACAGGAGCTGTATTAAAGGGCCATGGCATTAGGAAGGTTAAGAACCACTGCCTTAGGCTATACGGAAAGTTACCCAGCCAGAGCTCTGCAGGTCAATTCTCTAAAACCTCCCAATTTGAAAGCAGGGACTGGCTCTTGTTCATGTCCATCTCCCCAGTGACTGGTCCTTGGCTGCCACACAGGAGGGGCTCAGCATATATTTGTTCGAAAAACATCAACAAGTATTTGAATGATCAAATGAAAAACAAACCCAAAATCTACCATCTCCTGTTGTGAACCTCTCTCTTCCAATTTTTTGGCTGAGTATTTTCTTCTAATCTAAATCCTCTTCTCATAATACAAGCCCATTCACATTACTACATTCTCATGTGCACCTTTCTCTGCTGCCATGTTTTGTTTTGTTTTTTTTTTTTTTTTTT